GGGGGGGGGGGGGGGGGGGGGGGGGGGTGCAGGAAGCAGCCGATCGATGACTCATCACTGATGTTTCTCTCTCTCTCTTTCCCTCCCTTCTTCTCTCTGAAATCAATAAAGATATATTTAAAAAAAAAAAAGTTGGCTAATCCAATAGCTAATTTTCTATACTCTCCTGGTGCAAACTACCTTGTGCAGGTTCCTGAGCAGGGGCTGGCTCTGGAACTTCCGCTGGCACCTGCTGTGTGTCCATAACTTCCCCGTTAGGAGCCTCAGCCATCATTTGTGGAAACCGAAATGCGTAAAAAGCTTCAGCTTGCTGAAGGGAAAAGCTGAAAGAACAATACAAGATAAGAGGGTAAAATCACCCAAATGTAAGTTTAAATGATCAGCAGTAAATATCTTTTCAGGATCCAAATATTTTAAAACCAGACTGTAGTATTTATTTAGAGTTGACAACAGGTGCGAAGTGAGGAGGAAGATCTATTCTCATATGTACACTCACCCAACCTTTAATGAGTGCCTACTGACCAAACATTAATTCACTCTCACACTGTTTAATGACGAGATGTGCCATCAATAAAACTTACCTGTCAAGTCAGACTGCGCTTTCTCTGAGATGACATCATGGGAATTTTCTGGTAGGGAGACATGAAAGGCCCACGAGCCCATACAGGCACCAGCACACGGAAACAGTCTGTGTTCCTACCTTCAGTGTTCAGCCGTCTTGTTGCAAAGATTCCCTCCAACCTAACCCTCCCCTAGTGTGACCCCCCTCCCCTTTTGAGATAAAATTGACTTATAACATTGTTAAAGGTATGCAACATGGTGATTGGATACACTTATGTACAGGGCAGGGCAAAAGTAGGTTTGTATGTGTGAGTGCTCAAAACAGTTTATTCTTGTTATTATTTAATTATTGTATTATTTTCCATACAAACTGTAAACCTACTTTTGCCCCACTCTGTATTGTACAGTGGTTACCACCATAGCCTTAGCTAACACCTCCATCATGTCACATAATTAGTGTATTTCTTTTTTGTAGTGAGAACGTTTAAGATCTATTCTCTTCACAACTTTCAAGTAAATAACCGCACAGTGATGCTGTACACTAAGTGATGCAGGTAAATAAAATTATATAGGTTTCAGGTGTATGATTCTATAATACATCATCTGTATATTGTATTGTGTGTTCACCACCCTAAGTCAAGTCTCCTTCCATCACCATTTATCCCCTTTCCCTGGAAATTTGTGCCCTTTGACTAACATCCCCCATTCCCACCCCTCCTTCAATCTAATCTAAAGCTCTCTTTTGGTTTATTTGCCTGTTTACTTATTTATTCATTGGATCTGTTTTTTTAGTTGTTGCTGGGTTTTTGCTTTTCTGCCACTAAACAGAGTAGAAATGAATATTTTATAAATGTCTATGAATTTACGGAAAAAATGCACTCTAGACCTTGCTGCTGAACATTAAACTTTGCTCAGAGTGTTCTGTTCAATGTAGGAAGCAGAGGCCTTCACAGAAAACAATTTCCCCAAAATATTTCGGATGACCATAAACCACTATCTCAAGCTGTTGCCATCAGCACAAAGCTAGGGAAGTAAACACATCTTATGAAACTCAAGTTACACTAAAGCCAAATAATGCCACTCGATCTGCAGGAGGAAGGGAACACTAGGAAGTAAAGCAGATGAATGCCGTTTACTATCTGGAGAGAAAAGTCATGTTCTGCGGCTAGATACTCCACTTACTAGGGTTCTTTCTTTTCGCACGTGGAGAAAGGAGACAGGGAGCTCAGAAAGCAGAAATTTAAAGACAAACTAGCACACTTTAAGTGGGTCATCTTTATAGTTCATAAATCTTATCTCAATAAAGTGGTTGTAAAAGAAGGCAAACTAAAAGCGTAAAAGGCTGAGACAGGCACAAGGCAAGGGTCTACCCACGGGTGGCTGAGCTAGAATGTGAGCTTTGCAAAGAAAAACGGGCTCAATCCTGTTTTTCCAGTAGATGAACTGCCGGAGAGGTGCTTTAACATCAAGCTATCTTTCAGGGTAAGTTGATTTTAAAGGTTAAGAATTAAGTGCCCTGTGCAATGCAACATTGTTAACTGTAGGCTCTATGCTTTCTATCCCTGTGCCCAGCCCCAGCTTGTTTTCTAAGTGGGGCTGCAGAAACCACACGTCTCAGCTCTGTCCTCTCTGACTCCTCCCCCGCTGCAGAAAGGACCTGCTTCCTCTACCCATGTGTACGAAGAGGGCGGCCTTTGGTCACATCCTGCACCTTCCTCTTCTGTGGCCTATGAGGAAACCTCTGCTCTAGTCCACCAGGCTTGGTTCAGAGTTAAAATACCAGCACTGGGAGATTTCCTAAAACAAACAAACAAAATAAAACAAAGAAGCAACCCCTCCCCCAAAAAAGATCAGTGCCCTGGCTGGTGTGGCTCAGAAGTCGTCCCATATACCGAGAGGTCGCTGGTTCGATTCCCGGTCAGGGCACATGCCCACGCTGCAGGCTCAGTCCCCAGCAGGGGGCGTGCTGGAGGCAGCTGGTCGATGTTTCTCTCACTCTCTCCCTTCCTCTCTTTCTAAAAAACAAAAATCAATAAAAACGTATTTTAAAAAACAAATAAAAAGGTTAAGAATTAGTAAGAGGGGTCGGTATTAAACTATATCTTAAGAATTTATTTCTTTAAACATTTGTGTTCAAATTATATAAAAAAATAAAGACAATGCAATGATTTACGAAACATTACCATGAGAGAATACTATGCAGCTCCTAGAAAGTAAATGTACTGATACTCCATAAAAGCACAGAAAACATTTAATATGTTTTCAAGTGAAAAAGTATTCCACTTGAAACAGTATTGTAAACTAAGGCCACACAGAGGGAAAACATGTAGCCAAGGACTAGAAGTTAAACGTAAAAGTGAAGGGAGGTGCTTAGATCAAGCCCTGCACATAGTAAAACGTCTTCTCTTTTCACACTTTTCTTTACTGCTATTAGTAGCTCTTTTTATAAATTGTCAAAACACTAGTTGTTCAATACTTGTGATTTAAATATTCTTATGAGGAGCTGGGTAAGGCTAGGGTACATTGCGAGATCATGTGAAGTTTACTCTCTGGAAATCCTAGTAAAACGCAATGTAACTTCTGGCTGTGACCAGTGGCAGTTTCTGAGAGGCTGACAGCCCCTTTCGGCTGGAATATATAAAAGTGAAGACACGTGGTCACAATAAATGAGTGGCCAAAGAATGCACGAGGTCTGCTCTTAGTCTGTCACACTGTCAGGAAGGCAACCTCCCTCCCTCATGCTTTTGCTACCACTCTGAGTTCAACAGATGTGTTCCATTTTGAGTACTTAACAAAAATCCAAACTTAAATCCTGGCCGGGTAGCTCAGTTGGTTAGAGCATTGTCCCGACACGCCAAAGTTGTGGGTTTGATCCCTGGTCAGGGCACATACAAGGAACCAATCAATGCACAAATACGTGGAACAACAAAATTGATGTTTCTCTCTCTCCCCCACTAGCTCCCTTCCTCTCTCTCTAAAATCAATAAATAAAATTTTTAAAAATAAAAATTCAAACTTAAATCACATAAAAATTAGGAAGACATTATTCACACTACAAGAGGATTCTGAACTTTAAAAAATAAATTTCCAAAATGCGGCTCCCTTAGCATATTTAGGGGGTCATAAGGATCTTCAGAAATTCTAGGGCTCGGAAATTGAAAATTAATATTTTCCAAATCAGTTGACTGAAGTGAAAAATAATGAAGAAAAATATCTGGAGTCTTAGTTTATATATCCATTTTGAAAGAAATCTAGAAATTTCTCTTAATGTGTCCTTTGATCTTCTAAAAATGATCTCTGGCACTTCACAGTAAGTTAAATTAGAATAGAAAGGAAAAGTAAAGCTATGGAAACCAGAATGTGTACGTTCTGAGGTAATATACTGTCTCTAAGTGTTAAATTCAGCCTGGTCATCTTACAGCTTCCTGACAGCCAGAACAAAAGGAAAGAGGGTGGATCACCACATTCTTGTTACTTGGCAGAAAAAAGCATGACATCTGTGCAAAAACCTTCACGAACTTGAATGCTAGGAAACTAAAGAGCTCTGGACAATCTCATTGTCTTTTTTTTTTTATTATTACTTTTTAAAATATATCTTTATTGATTTCAGAGAGAGGAAGGGAGAGGGAGAGAGAGAGATAGAAACATCAATAATGAGTGTCATTGATCGGCTGCCTCCTGCACGCTCCTGACTAGGGATCGAACCCGCAACCGATCGCCTGGATCCTAGATCGATGCTCAACTGCTGAGCCATGGCCGGCTGGGCTTATTGTCTTTTATTTAATACTAGTTCAGTTTGTAAGCAGCATAAACTTCTTTCATCCTAAATGTAAAACTATCTCTTAAATACGTTTGTTGTATTTATATATGGTAAGTGCCACTTCATAACTCAGAATTCTGCAATGTTTGAATAATTGTCTCTGTAGGAGAGGAAGAGCTACAGAAGAGCACCTAGTCAAGGCATTCATCCTCGCAGGAGCTCAGTTCCCTCACCATGAAAATGAGAGGCTAGATTCAGTGGTTTCTACATATACGGAGAATGCGTAGAATATAGGACCAAATCTGTCCAGGCTCCAGACACACCCTGAAGCTTTTATTTTCTATAACTCCCTGATTTTCTATAACGCCCTATCATTTCCAGTTGTCCCCACCTGCTGGGTGCTACCTGTCTCCTTTTCCTGCCGCTCACCCCGTCCTCTCTCCTAGCCTCCACGTGCACTCCCTTTCTTTTGAACAGCAGTGCTCAAAGGGTTGGTTTTTACAGCTGTCTGAAATTGATAAATTGTGTTTATCCTGATGAACTGTGTATTTTCCAACAATCTTTCTCAAAACAAACACGCATGCATACATGTGTACACACACACAGCTGACTGAAGAATCCAGTTAATTCAGATTTGCTGTAGTTCAAAAAACTAACTCCTTAAGGTTTTCTCTAAAGGGAACAACTCCAACCTCTTTAACCCACAATTATTTTCCACTATTTTAAAGATTTAAGTTGCTCTTTCTGAATACACCTGTCTTAGTCCGTTTGGGCCACTACAACAAAAGCCCACAGACTGGGTTGGTAATGAACAAGTATTTATTTCTCAGTTCTGGAGGTTAGAAAGTGCGCTGTCAAGGCACCAGCAGGTTCAGAGTCTGGCCAGGGCCCGCTTCTGGGTTCATACGGGGCCGCCTTCTCCCTGTATCTTCATAAGGCAGAAGGTGTGATCTCTCTCGGGACCATCCCACTGAGGAGGGCTCTGCCCTCGTGACCTAATCACCTCCCCCACCCCCACCTCCAAATACCATCACCTTGACGATTAGGTTTCGACATATGAATTCTGGAAGAACACAAACATTCAGTCTGCAGCAACATTTTATTATCTTCATTTAAACAAGCACAGCCGTGGCCAGTGTGGCTCAGTTGGTTTGAGTGTTGTCCCATACACTGGCAGGTTATGGGTTCGTTTTCCAGTCAGGGCACATACCCAGGTTGTGGATACGATTCTGGTTGGGGCACGTACAGGAGGGAACCGACCGATGTTTCTCTCTCACATGGATGTTGCTCTCTCACATGGATGTTTCTCTCTCTCCCTCCCTCCCTCTAAAATCAATTAAAAAAATTTAAACAAGCATATGCAACACTGAATACTTAAATAATCAATGCTAAATAATCCATATGCTCAAATTAAAAGGACTGGTTATGTAAACTATGATGGAACACCATCATAACTATTTAAAGACTACATTCAGCACTGCTTAAGCAGAAGTGTCTTTACCATGCATTGCTGGGTACTTGCTGTGCACAGTCTACTAAAAACCATAAACACAAAGATACAGAATAAGCCAGAGTCCCCAGTTTATTTAACGCCTCTTCATATAGTATGATTTCGAGTTTCCTCACTATTTGGTCATTTTTGATCCTCAGAAGCAAGCAAAATAAAAATACTTCAGATACAGCCTCATCGTCCTGAAACTGAGGAGGGCTATCAACTTCCTCATTCTAGAGACACATCACAGAACCCAATACATGAGCTTTACCGGCACTCACAGAATATAGCTGATTCATACTGAGTTCACCATCAACGGAAACTGCCCTTTTATCACTTCTCCCTCATCTCACACTTGTATTATTGGGTTTTCCACACCTAAGCAAAGGATTGCACCTCTTTTTGTAAAAGATGATTCACCATTCCAGCCAGTTGGGACTGATCCGGATTCTGATTCAACCCATCAGTTCCACAAACCGGTCCCAGAGTTAGGTCACAGACAAATTTTATCATTTCATCAGTGCCTTTAAGTTGTCAAACTTCTGAAAAGAACAAAGTTGGGGTAGTAGTAAATGGCACATAATACACACCTCTCTTCAGCCTGCCCTTGACTTTTTCAGTACCAAGCCCGTTTTTATTTCACCTAATTAGACTGCTATCAGCCCATCTTCATCTGCCCACACACAAACACAAAAGAAAAAAAAGTGGAATGGCACAGTTGTTAGGGAGGCCAACTTTGAAGCCACACTGCCTGGTCTCAAATTTCAGCTCTGCCATTTACTAGCTCTGTAGGCAAGTTCCTTAACCTCTTTATGTCCCAGATTCCACATCTGTAAAATGGGAATAGTTGGACCTAATTCACTGGTTATGAGAATTAAATTAGTTAACACACGCAAAACACTTAGAACAGTGCCTGGTATGTAATAAATTCGCCATAACAATAATAAAAACAGCAGGAGATTAAATAGTTTAGGTACCTCCTGTCATCCTCCTCCTGATGTTGTCTAGTCTAGTATCTTTATCTAAAAAGGGATGACCTAACTTGGTAGGTCTTGCTTTTTTCTGAACCTACACTATAGCCTGTGGTGACTAGTTCCTTTTAAACATGCTCAATAACCACGGACAAGTAAACATTTTGTTTAGGATCAAAGTTCATATGTTAAGAGGACAGATGCCACCTCTGGAAGAAACAGGGACACGTGTATTTATTTTCAGGCTTCAGGCCCCTCTCCTGTTGTCTACAAATTCTCATAGACTGCTGCAATTTGGCTTCTCACTTGAAATCCAACTCATCCAGGCCAGGAAATATGATTTCTGCTAGAGCAGCTAAAAGTTCTCTTAAACGTCCACATTGATCCTGAGCTTTAAATCTTTTACAGACATTCATGCCCCATTTCCAGTCTGCAATCATTTTTTTTAACATAGGAGATGAAAAATCAAAATCAGAAGTAAGTGCTTATGGTGTCACTTATTAACGCCATGCCAGTCAACTAGGCAGAAAACCCAGACTTTCTTGTCCTTCTCGTGGTCCACATCTAACTAAAAAAGTTCTTCTTGCTCTCTTTAACATTTCTAGAAAGCCTGATCTTATTTGAGGGTTAATCTTTCCTGTTTTCTCAGTGGTCCGTGTCACACTTTTCATTTTTTATTTGGCATCATATTTCCATCTTTGGTGAATGCCCTTTTTCATGCTTGATCTCTTTAGAAATATACTGGCCCTCTTCCTCAATATCTCCTCTCTGGTTAGGCTGTAAGTGCTTGTTCTGACTCTTGAACATCTCTTTTTTAAAGAATCTTTTATTCATGGCATTTTTTTTCTTTGAATGTGTTTGTTTTTTAATCTTCACCCGAGAATATGTTTTTATTGACTAGAGAGACAGAGAGACATCGATGTGAGAAACATTCATCAGTTGCCTCCTGTAAGCACCAGACTGGGGAACCCACGACCTAGATATGTGCCCCAACCAGGAATCAAACTAGCAAACCACCAGTGTACGGGACAACACTCCAACCAACTGAGCTATCCGGCAAGGGGTCTTTGAATGTTTTGAAGTTAATCTTCCAAAATAAAAGGCAAAGTCATTATTACAAAGCACTCCATTCTATTCCTTGATTAGCACAAAGTAAGGGTAACAGAGAACCACTTTCTCGGGATTACCTGGGCCTGTCATTTCAGAATTCCCAAGGATAAACTCCTTACGTATTAATGTAGAATTCTCCTTATTTCCTGAGGTTGAAGTTTTGCAAGTCAATAAAAAAATGATCTATATCTCTATGGATTAAATAAAGGCAGAATCTAAGTCAGTTTTGAGCTAACCATTGCACCAGAGACCTACTGCTTTGCTTTATAAGATACTGAATGAGTTCTTCTGACATGGAACTCACTTAATGGTTGGCTCTACCCAAGTTTCCATTCTGACCTGAAGGTTGCAAAGGGGAGAGTGATGTCCACAAGTTCTGGTGAATTCTTTTCTTCGTAAAGTTCTTCTGGGAAAGAAGTGGAGTCCTTTACTTCAGGATACAGTTCCCACTTTATCTGCGTGTCACCTCCTTTCCTAAGCTCTGAGACTATTTTGGTTCCTTAACCCCTTCCGCCTACCAGGGATTCACAGGACTCAGAACTGGCCTCCGGAGATGCCCTGTCCACAGGCAGGGACAGGCCCAGAGGAGTGAAGCGTCCTAAGCTCGGCGCCCATGAGCCACCGAGTCAGGTTAATTCTCCACAGGTTTAACAGCATTTTATACCAAAATGGAGCATCACTGTAAAAAAGACCCTGTTATTACTGACCGTATCTAACTTCTTTCATTTGGTTTTCTGCCCGTTCAAATCTCAAAATCTCTGCTTTTGCAACGCGTTTTTTCCACGCATGTAACCCTCCTCAAAGGACATATTAAAAGTAGACCCTTAAGTTCGTCCCCAAGGCCACTACAAGACATTTTCAGGTGACTTCTTGGGAGTGTTCTTCACAATCTCAGATTTCAGGAGCCCTAGGATTAACCCACCTCGTGGCCCCTGGCGCTGCTTCCAGTAAACCGTCGGGGAAGGAGGCCACAGTGAACCTGACTCCGGAACGGAGACACCTGCAGGGATACAAGGGCGACTCCGCCTGTACAGCTCTTTGCACGATAGTGAGGGGTGAAGGGAAGTGTGGCCAAGAATGGCAACCAGACATACAACAGGAGGCCGCTGGCTGCTTACTAACGCCTTTCAGGGCCAGCTAGAGGCCGGGAAGGCCTGCAGAGGGGTTCCGCGGCTGCAGACGCCGTCAGAGCGGCCCGGAGAGCGGGGCCCACGCAGGCCCGCAGCGCGCAC